AATGCTACCGCAGGTGTGTCAGGATGGCGAGACAGCCCTCCTCCCTGCAACAGCGGACAGCACAGGGGATGATGGAGAGGGCAAGGCAGAGGGAGCGGCGGAGGGTGGGGTCGCAGGAGACGGAGAGCGGAGCAACGGGACCTGTGGGTCAAGTGGGAAGGCAGGGGGAGAGGGGGGGCAGGGAGCGCGTGTGCAGGGAGTGAGTGAGGGGGAGGGGGTGCGGGTGCGGGCGCACGTGGTGGCACAGCTGCTGGTGCAGGTGGTGGAGAGGGACGTGTTCTACGAGCTGCGCACGGTGCAGCAGCTGGGATACATCGTCTTCCTCATGGCACGGTAAGTTCTGTGCCTGGTATGTGTGTCACGTGCCATGTGGCGGAATGCCTGGCCAGTGGTGGCTTGGCTTGTGGTGCCACAGCATCCGGGGCAGCTGCTGGTGCAGGTGCTGGAGAGGGACGTGTTCTACGAGCTGCGCACTGTGCAGCAGCTTGGATACATTGTTTTCTCATGGCACGGTAAGTGCTATGCCTCTTTTGCAAAGGTGGGTGTGCCACCTGCCATGCGGCGACATGCATGGTATGTGGTGCCACAGCTTCTTGCGCAGCTGCAGGTGCAGGTGCTGGAGAGGGGCGTGTTCTACCGTGCGTAAGTATGCCATGTGGCATCCATGTGGTGCCACAGCTGCTGGTGCAGTCTATTGGGGTGAGACCCGGGGGGGTGAGATCCGGGAGGGTGAGACCCGGTGGGGTGAGACTGGGGGGGGTGAGAGCCACTGGGGTGAGACCTTTTTTACCCGCTTTCTTCCAACCAGAATCTCCCGTTACTACTTCCACTTTGCCCGCCGCTGCTCTTTGGACCAAATCTCCTAACCATCCCTCTTCCACTGCCTCCCTTGTCTTCCTGTCCTCCCTGTCCCCCCAGCAATGAGAACGCGGTGGATGGCATCACGTTCATCATCCAGTCAAACCCCCCAACTCCCGCTAAACCCCCAACTCCCTCCTCTTCTACCGTCCCCCTGTCCTCCCTGCCCCTCCAGCAACGAGAATGCGGTTCACGGCATCACATTCATCATCCAGTCAAACGTCAAGGCAAGTCCTTCCTCTCCCCCTATTCCACTCCTCTTGCTTTGCCACACCCCATCTGCCCTTAACCTGCATGGCTACTTGCTACACCTGCTCCCCACCACCGCTGCCCACTGGAACTATGTCCGCGGATTTGCATACACGACTGCTCTTCCTTCTTGCTAAAACTGCTCCCTACTGCCGCTGCTCACTGGAAGTGTGTCCGCAGATCTGCGTACACGACTGCTCTTCCTTCTTGCTAAACCTGCTCCCTACTACCGCTGCTCACTGGAAGTGTGTGCGCAGATTTGCGTACACGACTGCTCTTCCTTCTTGCTAAACCTGCTCCCTACTGCCGCTGCTCACTGGAAGTGTGTCCGCAGATCTGCGTACACGACTGCTTTTCCTTCTTGCTAAACCTGCTCCCTACTTCCGCTGCTCATTGGAAGTGTGTCCGCAGATTTTCGTACACGACTGCTTTTCCTTCTTGCTAAACCCGCAGATCCGTGTCTCTCCCCTTTTCCGCCATACGGTGCAGTCAACTGGCGACCTGGACGGGTGGGTGGAGGCACTTCTGCAGGCTGCTGAAAGCAAGCTGTCATCACTCCCCTCCCCCCACTCAAGCTGTCATCACTCCCCTCCCCCCACTCCCTCCCCTCTCTTTCTGCCTCCCCCCCCTTCTCCTTGCCCTTATGTGCCTCGTTCCCTCTCGCCAATCTGCAGTCTGCCTATGACCTGGACGGGCGGCTGGAGGCATTCCTGCGGGTAGCTGAGAGCAAGGTGTCCTTACTTCCCTTTATCTCTCTCCTCTCGTTCTCTCCTTGCCCATTTTCCGCACCCCCCCCCCCCCACCACCACCACCACCCCCACCACCACCCCCACCACCACCCCCACCGCCAATCTGCAGTCTGCCAGCGACCTGGACGGGCGGGTGGAGGCATTTCTGCAGGCAGCTGAGAGCAAGCTGGCGACCATCAGCGAAGAGGAGTTCCAGGTGGGCTGGGCTGAGAGAAAATGTGAGGATGGCATTTTCTGTCTGATTCAAAGGTAACTGAGAGCAAGCTGGCTGACATGAGTGACGAGGAGTTCCAGGTGGGCGTTTTTTCTTGTTTTCTTCTGTTTCTGCCCTGGACCTTCCATCTCGGTTCCATTTCGTCACACCCCATTAGTCACACGTGGCACGGAAAGAAAGAAGAATAAGGCTTGTGAGTGTACTACCCCTCCCGCCCACCCCTTCAGATGCATGTGGCAGCACTGGTGGCGAAGAAGCAGGAGCGGAAGAGGAGCCTTGTGGAGGAGGCGAATGTGATGTGGAAGGAGGAAGAAGAGCATGACTTGTGTTCTGTTTCACACTCTTGCTGGCCTTTGACCCCATTGACCGTGTCACCCCTCCAGACCCATGTGGTGGCGCTGGTGGCTAAGAAGCAGGAGCGGAAGAAGAACCTGGTGGAGGAGGCGAATGCGATGTGGAAGGAGATAGACGACGCCACGCTGGCCTTTGACCGCGTTGACAAGGAGGTAATGCTGACCTTTGACCGCGTTGACCAGGAGGTAATGCTGGCCTTTTACCGTGTTGACCAGGAGGTAATCATGGCCTGTTCCCGCCCCTGATGCTGATGGCCCCAATGCTTCCGCCCCCAACTTTCTGCCCAAGGTTTCACTCCCAAGGTCTCAACCTCCCCAATTCTCGCCCTCCACCACCCCGAAGTCTTTCGCTTGTGCTGCTTTTTCTTGCTTTGTTTGCTCCCCACACCTTCTCACCCTCCACATCTTTCCCCCCCTTCCTCCCTCCCTCAACTCCCACCCAATCCCCCTTCCCCTCCCCCCCAAACCCCTGCCCCCCCCCAAATCCCCCTCCCCCCTCCCATTCTCCCCCCACCCATTCTCCTCCTCCCTCCTCCCCCCCCCATCCACCAGGTGGCGGAGCTGCGACTGCTGCGCCCATCCCACGTGGCGCATTTCTTTGCCACCGTGGTGAGGCAAGGCGCTCCCAGCAGGAGGCTTCTGAGTATCCAGGTAAGGCGTGGGTTCAGGGAGGAGAGAGAGAACCCTAGTCACGGGTGTGGAGAGTGTCTTCTGTGTACGCTCTTGGTGCTGTGCACCTGCCTTCACTCAAGCACTCATGCTTGCTTCCAACGCTGGGGCTTGATTGTAATTCATGGTGATTGTGCGACTCCGTCCCATTGCTACTACAGGTGCAGAGGCATGAGAAGGGAGCGCCTGGGGAAGCAGCCACAACCTGCGCCGTGGAAAACGCCCCCAAGCCTGCTGTCAATGGTTCAGCCGGTGCTGCTCCTGTCTGTGATGCTAACTTGGAAAAAGGCGAAGCAAATGACACCGGTAGCACAAGCAAGGAGGGGGCAAAAGAGGTGGAAGCTACATCAAAGGACAAGAGGGAGGTGATTGAAAACATTTATGATTTCAAGCGCACCCAGGCTCTGTATCCGTCACTCAAGGGAAGGCCACTTCCGCCTTCCATTGTATCATCATCATTGTAAGCCTGGTCGATTGCCAATTTAGTGTTCGTATTCAAGCCCGCTTCCTTATGCTGGCTTTATGTTCTTATACGTTAATTCATAGATGCTATCTTTTCACTCGTAACAATTGATGAAATTTCTCTCATGGGCGTGATCGCTTGAACAGTGACTTTAGCCGCTCGTTCCTCTGCTTATGTGCATGGCCCGAATCGGGTCACTCCATCCAGCGAGGCAAGTACCTCTTCGCAAGTGGGCCGAATCAGGGTATAATCATGCAGGCATGATGGGGGTACACCTAGCCCGCGGGGATATCGCAGACTAGGTGTATTAACTAATGCTAGTTCGTCATTGGTTAACGACAACACTCCGGTCATCGTTAGCAATGTTACCACGCTACCAAGCCATGCCTTGCTGAGTTCAGCATTACAGCGCGGCAAGTAGGCCCGCACGAGTGGGTAAATCTGCGGCTAAAATGGGCGTGCGCTGCCTCGCTGGCGTCCAGCACATGGATCCACTTTCCACTCTGGTGTCGCGAAAAGCAGGGAGTGAGGGACCTGCGACACGATCCTTTGATTGAATGTTGGCTTGGGTGGGCGGAGGGAGGCTGGTGGCACTCGCGGCTCCCATGTGAGTGGGATGAGTGACACAACAGCGAGGGTGGCAGGGAGGGTTTCGGAAGCCAGGTCATACTAATTTCGAGAAACGCTGAATGTAGTGCTCCCCGGATACGGATGGTTCAAAGAAATCCCTTTTCCCGCTACACTCTCCCTCGTAAAGTATGCATTCAGCCGATAATAATCGACCCTAAGCGGTCTCTATTGGATTTGTAAACGAGTGTGGGTAAGTTTAATGAAGACCCAAGGATTCGGCTAATATCGTTAACATATACCCCCTCAGCATCCATGGATGGGATCGCGTCGCACCAACCAGTTCAGCAGCAGCAAAGCTCGATCCCCTGCGGTAACGAACGCGACTTGGGTCAGCGCAGGTCGTTCCGCTCCACGGTTTCACTTGCTTGGATGATGGGCCCAGTCAGCCAGTCAGTCAGTCAGTCACCTCCCCTGGTGCGCGACCCTCCCCCTCCCCCCCCTCCCCTCCCCTCCCTTCCCCCACGCCTCCTCTTCCTCCCCCCCCTCCTCTCCACCCCCCGTCCCTCGTCCCCCCTCCCCTCGTGCCCCCCAACACCCCCTCTAATCCTCCTCTCGTTCCTCGCCTCAACTCGTTCCAGCCTGGATTCCACGACTGTCCCCCCTGGTCGCACATTATCCTCGCCACACGACGTGATACGTCCCACCTGACGCGGAAAAACGAGGACGAGCTTGTGTGTCCATCCAGTTGCCCACCGACGTGCGACTCGATCGAAACCGAACCGAGAGGGGGAGGGGAGGGATGGCTCTCATGGCATCGCAGTCACAACGCGTTTCCTTCCCCCCCATTGACGGGGATCCAAAAGCACTTTTCCCAGCTGTCCGTGGGTTCATCCAGCGTTTTATACCGACTCAAGCCGATCTTCCCTCGTCAACACCGTCGCCATCACACACATCACAGCTAAGACACGAGTGATCTCCCAGCTAGTCGCGGACGTTCCTTCGCAGACCCAAGAGTCTTGGTTGCCGCAGATATTACTCTCAAACTTTTCCGTTCACGGAAGCCGGTGTCAGTCTCTCTTTCGTGCGCACACTGCATTCGTTAGCCAGCCAACCGTACGCTCTTGCCGCAGCAGGAAGCAGGCAGCAAGGAGAACGGAAGAGAACCAGAGAGGGCGAGAAAGAGGATAGACGAGATCGAGAGCAGCGAGCGAGCAGGGGGAACCAGAGAAGCATGGAGCCGTTTTTCAGCAGCGACTGTCGCGAGATCCTTATAGCCGTCGATAACAGCGAAGGTGAGCATCCACCGTCCATCATTACCGTGGTTATCGCGGCGCTGTCTCGCTCGCCATATGTTCCGCTGACTCTCCCCTCACTCGCACGGCGCTCTTTATCGCTCACCAAGTTACCCGCGAGATCCGTTCTCGCAGAGTCGGAGCTGGCGTACAGCTGGGCTCTCTGCGTGGCTGTTCGCCCACTGTTGCTCATCCTGCCAGCCTGCTGCTGTATTTCCCTACCCCCTGCTAAATCGTGCGATCCGTGCGATCGTGCGATCGTGCGATCCGTGCGTGCAGGATGGGACCTGGCGTTCAGCTGCGCTGACTCCCCTCCTCGGTTGCTCACCATGTTACCCTGTTACGCTCTAAAGCCCTTGCCGCTTCTACTACCCGCCGATCCGTGGCCGCAGGATCGGAGCTGGCGTTCAACCGGGCTCTCCGCGTGGCTGACTCCCCCCCTCGGCTGCTCATCCTGCTACCCTGTTTTGATCCTGCTGTTCTTGCGGTCGTGCGATCCGTGTCTGCAGGATCGGAGCTGGCTTTCAACTGGGCGCTCCGGAATTACTGCAAACGGCACGACCACGTGCGGCTCATACACGTCGTCAGAAATTTCAACGGTCAGTGGCCGCTCCCTTGCGTTGCCGTTTTCCCTCACCGCCTTGCCTTCCTTCCCTCACCGCCTCGTCACATCCTTGGCTACATCGTAACATCCCTCTTCCCCCCCCTCCCCCCCCTCCCCCCCCACAACCCCCCAACCCCCCCTCCCTGCCCCCCCTCCCCCAGACGCCATCGGCTCGCTCCCAAAGGAGGCGATTTCGTGTTTGGAGCAGCAGGCGATGACGTCAGCGCGCGCCGTCGTTGAGAAATACATGCGCCGATGCGCCCACGCCGATGTAAGCCGCGCCCTCCGCCTCTCCCCCTCGCTCCCGTCCCCCCTCGCGCCCACCCCGATGTAAGCCGCGAGCTGCCCCGTTCCACCCGCCCGCTTTGCTGTTTCCCTCCAGCTCCCCGCGCGCCCCATTCTCCCGACCGCCCCGTCCCCCGATCGCCCCGTCCCCCCGATCGCCTCCGCGCTTTACTGTCCCTTGTGCCCCGGTTCTCTCTAATCCCATCCTCATGGATCAGCGCGACATGTTGCCTAAGACCGGACCTGAGACGCCTCTAAATGACGTGTAGCGGATTGGTCTTAGCTTAATCCTTCTCCCATCCTGGCGCCGCGTGACGTGGTATTGCAGGTGGACTGCGATTGGCGGATAGCGTGTGGCGACGAGAGGGACCTGATTTGCCGGGAGGTGATGCGCGTGTGCGCTGACGTGCTCATCGTTGGGACCAGAAGCCTGCCGCCTGTGAAAAAGTGAGTGCCTCTCACAAGGTTCGTTTCTGGTGTACAGCCCTCGAAACATCAAGTGATGTGTGCGCTGGAGCCTGACGTGCTCATCGTTGGGACCAGAAGCCTGCCCCCTGTAAAAAAGTGTCTGTCAAAATGAGTGTTTCTCAAAAGGTTCGTTTCTGCTACATGGCCCTCGAAACATCAAGTGATGCGGGTGTGCGCTGACGTGCTCATCGTCGGCACCAGAAGCCTCCTGCCCGTAAGAAGGTGAAAGGCCCGGCTTAGAATCCCTTGCTCTCAGCCTTCCTCTCCCCTTCCCCCTGCTGCCCCCCCTCCCCCGCCCTCTCATTTACCTGCCAGCAACATCACTACTCTCCCTTCATACCAGTGCCAGTGCCTGTCCCCCCTTCCCTCCCATGCAGAGCTCTCCTTGGCTCCGTCAGCGAATTCTGCGCCCACCACAGGTCAGCCTCCCAGCAGCCTCTCTCAATCACCCCTCCTTGTTCTCATTCTGTCATCTCACTCTCACCTCTGCAATCCCCCTTCCTCTGTTGCTGCTCTGCCCTGTCATTCCCATTCTGCCGCTAAATCCCTGTGGTATCTTCCTCTCTGTTCCCCTCCACATCTCCACATGCCTCTCACTTCCCCTGCCAGTGCATGTCCCGTCATCATTGTGCGCCCCAAGGAAACCAAGCCGGAGCTTCTTGCTGCACAGTGATACATAGGCAATCTAAGCTAGGGTAGAGCAATGATACCATGAAGGGAGAGTAATGTTGCTGGTTTGATATTGAATGATAAGTGTAGGCCTACTGACTGCACTTCATGCAGTCCCACAAATCCTCATGTAAATTTAAATGACGTCAAAGAGACGTACCAGTACTACCAGAGTGATTGTCACTGAAATATGTCGGTATAAGCAATTCCAGAAGATGTATCTACATGTCAAACATATATATTTGTCATGTTTGTATAGACTGTATAGGGTCACCTCTTAGAGGGTACAACACTTAGGTATATCTGTGTGTACTCTCTCTCTACCAACATTCAATTCTCTGATTTTGATATGGTATCACGCGTAGGTTAGGATCCCCCCCCCCACCTACCGCTTCCGCTCGCTCCCCCCCCTAGCTAGGCCCCGCCGTGCCTCGCCCCTAGCCCCGTCGTGCCCCTAGCCCCGTCGCGACCCCCTGGGCCCCGTCGCGCCCCTCCTGGGCCTCGTAGCGCCCCTCCTGGGCCCCGTCGCGCCCCTCCTGGGCCCCGTAGCGCCCCTCCTGGGCCCCGTAGCGCCCCTCCTGGGCACCGTCGCGCCCCCCCTGGGCCCCGTAGCGCCCCTCCTGGGCCCCGTCGCGCCCCTCCTGGGCCCCGTAGTGCCCCTCCTGGGCCCCGTAGCGCCCCTCCTGGGCCCCGTCGCGCCCCTCCTGGGCACCGTCGCGCCCCTCTTGGGCCCCGTAGCGCCCCTCCTGGGCCCCGTCGCGCCCCTCCTGGGCCCCGTAGCGCCCCTCCTGGGTTCCGTCGCGCCCCTCCTGGGCCCCGTAGTGCCCCTCCTGGGCCTCGTCGCGCCCCTCCTGGGCCCCGTCGCGCCCCCTCCTGGGCCCTGTACCGCCCCTCCTGGGCCCCGTAACGCCCCTCCTGGGCCCTGTAGCGCCCCTCCTGGGCCCCGTCGAGCCCCTCTTGGGACCCGTCGCGCCTTCCGGCCCCGTCGCGCCAGCCCGGCCCCGTCGCGCCCGCCCGGCCCCGTCGCACCCTACCCGGCCCCGTCGCACCCGCCCGGCCCCGTCGCACCCGCCCGGCCGCCGTCCCGCTCGCCCGGCCCCGTCGCACCGGCCCGGCCCTGTCGCACCCGCCCGGCCCCGTCGCCCCAGCCCGGCCCCGTCGCGCCCGCCCGGCCCCGTCGCCCCGGCCCGGCCCTGTCGCACCAGCCCGGCCCCGTCGCGCCCGCCCGGCCCCGTCGCCCTCGCCCGGCCCTGTCGCACCTGCCCGGCCCCGCCGCGCCCGCCCGGCCCCGTCGCACCCGCCCGGCCCCGTTGCACCGGCCCGGCCCCTGCGCTCGCCCCTGCCCCGGCCCCGTCCTCCTCACTGGTACGGTCCCCCCCCTCCCCCCGCCCTGCACTGCCCTGCACCGTACCGCCCCGCACCACACTGTACTGCCTTGCACCGCACTGCACCGAACTGCACCGCACTGCACCGCACTGTACCGCACTGCACGCACTCCACCTTGCTGCACTGCCCTGCACCGCACTGCACTGTTCCTGATGGCGGCGGAGCTTCGCTTCGACGCTGAAGGCCAGCCTCTGGAGTTCGAGGCGTGGCTTGCCGACCTCCGCCGCCAACTCACTGGCCATCGGCAGGATGGTGAACCGCTTTCCGCACACCTTGACGGTACGCTCCCCTGCCCAGACCCCCCTGCTATTCTGTCCGCTGACCCCACACCCACTGAGCGCGAGTCTACTGCTGCCACTGCCCGTGCGCGCTCTGTCTGGCTTTCTCGCGATGCTGTCGCCCAGCTTGCCATTAGCAACGCCCTCCCCCCGTCCGAGCGCCCTCGCTTTAGGTCCCTCACTACTGCTCAGGCATACTTAGATGCTGTCATCCAGCGCTATTCCACCCCTCCGGTTGCCTCGGTGGGTCGCCTGATCCTCCCGATGCTCTTTCCTGACCTTGCATCTTTCCCCACTGTCTCTGACCTCGCTGCCCACCTGCACTCGATAGAGGAGACCTGGCGTGCCGCCTGCACTGACGCACAGCTTCGAGCCCACCAGCCGCCCATTACCTCTACCCTCTACCTGCTTGCCACCCGCCTCCCTGACCGCCTTGCTGTCGCCCCCGACCGCTTCCTTAGCATTCACCCCGCAGACCTCACCCTCACTGACTTTGTAGACACCCTGAATGTGATAGAGACCCGTCACCGCTCCATCGCCCAGGCGAGCGGTGTCGTGCCGGTCCCTATCTTCCAGGGTTGTGCCCCCGCCCAGTGTACCTTCTCCGACGGCTCTGTCGCAATGGCTGAGACTGCTGCTGCAGCGCAGTTTCGTTCGGGGAAGGGCCGCCGCCCCAAGGTTGGGCGCGGCGGAGGCGGAGGCGGGGGTGCGGGAGGGGGTAGTGGTGGGGTCGGGTTGTCTGGTGCTGGAGCGGACGAGGGGACCCTGCCCAGTCCAGCTGAGCCGCCGCCCCTGCAGTTGCAGCAGCCGCAGCAGCCGCCGCAGTCGCAGCCTTCGCAGCAGCCGCAGCAGCCGTCGCAGCCGCGGCAGCAGAGTGTCCTCCCGCCCGGGTGGCCCGGCGCTGGCGGTGGCCGGGCGCGTGGTGGTGTGCCGAGTGGTAGCTCTGGCGGCGGGCGCTGTCAATACCAGATCCAGACCGGTCCTCGCCGCGGCTTCGTTTGCGGTAAGATCGGTCACTCCACTCCCCGCTGTTTTCGTCGCCTGGACGACCACTTTCGTCAGCGCTTCGGCCCGTCGCCAGACCTCCCAGACTGGCACAGTTTGCTTAGTCGTAAGATTCAGATTTTTGATATGGACATGGATGCCATTGTTTCTGCTCTGCATGTGATGTATGCTGATGACTCTAGTGTGCTTCCAGCTTATTACTCACTGTTGCCTAGTGTAGGTGTCTCTAGCGTAGCCTCCCCTGCTGCGTCAGGCGTAGGATCCTCTGCTTTGTGTAGTCTTGGTGCTTCCGCCGTCGTTCCGTCGCCAGACGCCTCTGCTTCGCTTTCCTTCACCCTGGACTCTGGCGCTTCTCGGTGTTTCTTCCGCGACTCCACCACCCTGACGCCGCTTCCTGTTCCTGCTGCCGTTTCTCTTGCTGACCCCTCCGGCGGTCCGGTAGTCGCCCGTAGTTCCACCACCCTTCCCTGTCCGGCGGTTCCTTCGGGCACTCTCACAGGTCTGCATATCCCCTCGTTCTCCAGGAACGTAGTTGGTGTCGGCTGCCTCCAGGACCTTGGCGTCACCACTACGTTCCCTGGTCACGAGCGGTATGCTGTCTGTACCGAGGCCGCCACTGGTGCCCCCCTGTCCACGTTCCCCCGGGACCCGGTGTCCGGCCTGTTCACTCTGGACACCGTGACCCCCCCGGCTGGAGCGCTCACCCAGGTTGCTGCTGCCTGCTCCTGTCGGTCCCTCACTCACCCGACCCTCCTTTGGCACCACCGCCTAGGTCACCCTGCGCTCCCGCGTCTGCGTCACATGTCCCAGCACGGTCTTGTCCTTGGTCTCCCAGGTTCTCTCCCCGCGTTTCCCTCCTCCCCAGCCCCACCTTGCACGCCTTGTGTCGAGGGTCGGCTTCGCCGTGCCCCTCACTCCTCCTCGTTTCCCCCTACCGCCGCGCCGCTGCAGACCCTGCACCTGGACGTCTGGGGCCCCGCCCCCGTCCCTGGGCCGCGTCGAGAGCGCTACTTGCTTGTGCTCGCCGACGACTTCACTCGTTACACCACAGTCTTTCCCCTGGAGCGCAAGGCCGACGTGCCTGGCACTCTCATCCCCTGGCTTGTCTCTGCGCGTGTCCACCGCGGTCTCCCTGTCTTGCGTCTTCACTCAGACCGTGGTGGCGAGTTTGCCTCAGGTGTCCTTGGTCGCTTTTGTCGTGCGGAGGGCATCACCCAGACGTTCACCCTACCGGACTCCCCACAGCAGAATGGGGTCGCTGAGCGACGCATCGGTTTGGTCATGGAGGTGGCTCGCACCTCCATGATCCATGCCGGTGCACCCCATTTTCTGTGGCCGTTCCTCCCCGTCCCGCCCCCTCTGGTGCACCCCTCCTCCCCGTCCCGCCCCCTCTGGTGTGTCCCACGTCACCCCCCTTCCGTCGGTGGACACGGTTGAGGAGTATTCTGACTCTGGTGGCCCTCCTGTGCAGTCCTCCCCGGCTGCCCCTCCCCCGGCGTCCCCTCCCCAGTCCCCTCCTCCACCGCCTCTGCCGCCGCAGCAGCCTTCGTTGTCGCTGCCGCCGCCGCCGCCGCCGTCGCAGCACCTGTTCGCTGACTCTGGGGGTGCTCGTCCCGGTCGCCCAGGGGGTGGCCCCTCTGGGGTTGTTGGTGTGGAGAGTGTCGGTGGTAGCCGAGGAGCAGCTTGCGGTCCAGGTGTCGCCGTTGTGCCGCCGCAGCAGCAGTCCCCGCCGGTGTCCGGCCTTCGCCTGCTTGGCCTTCCGTCCCCCGACCCTGCGTCTGTTCCTCCCCGACCGTCTCCTCCTCTTCCTGTCTACGGCCCTGTTTTCCCTCCGCCGGACTCGTCCCCGGCCTGTCTCCCCCCTCGTTCCCCTCCTGTTTCCCCTCCCCTGTCTCCTGACCCGACTCCTCCGTCTCACGTCTGGTCTCACCGTCCCTCCCGTGCTCGTCCTGCCTCGCCTGTCTTGCGCTCCCACCCTATGTTGCTTCGTTCCCACGTGTCTCGTCCTCCCCTTCTGCCGTTGCCTCCTCCGTCCTCCCTTGTTGTTGCACCCCCCCCGCTGTCTGACTACCTTCGGCAGCTCGTCCCCTTGTTCCTCGGGTCCTTGCCTCTCTCGTTACCGACCCGTCCGTTCCGGTCTCGTGCCTTGACGCTCTTGTCGCTGCTGTCGCTGACTTCGCCTCTACCCGCCGCCTTGACTACGCTACTGCTCTGGTCTCTGACCCTGCCTGTCCTCCGTTTGTCGGGGGTGTTCCTGCCCTTGGCAGTGACGTCCTGGAGGACCGCCAGTTCGAGCTTGCTTTCCTCTCCGAGGCTGCTCCCCATCTCTGTTCCATGCTGCTAGTCCCTGAGGGTGACCCAGACGCTTTCGACATCCCGACCCCTCGCACTTACGCTGAGGCGACCTCGGGACCTTGAGCCTCTCAGTGGATAGCTGCCATGGAGCAGGAGATGGCATCTTGGAGATCCACCGGCACCTTCGTCGACGCAGTTCCCCCGCCTGGGGTGAACGTAGTCGATGGCCGCTGGCTCTTCAAGGTGAAGCGC